TGATCTCACATCTGAGTTCCTTAAGAACTCTTGGGTGTATACCATCAGGACCAAAGACTTATTGGATTTTTATTTCCCCAGTAGGTCTAGAATTTCATCTCTGGCCACTTCAATTTGGCTCATTTCTTCAGAGTCCCTTCCTGAAAAAAGAGGCTGTGGCATGGGTACGTGCCCTACACTTTCCACAGTGAACACAGAAGCAAAAAAATGCATTCAGCTTCTCTGCCATCTTCCTTTAGCAATCCCTTTATTCCTTTGTCATCCAAAGGCCCACTGCTTCTCTGGCTGGTTTCCTGCTCCAGATATATTTTTTAAAATGTTTATATTTTTTCTCGATGCTTTTAGCAACCCACTCCTCAAAAATCTTTTTGCATGCCTAATTATTAACTTACATTTCTTTTGCCAGAGCCTGTGGACCCTCACGTTCAATTCATTGGGGTAGACCTTCAATTTTTAAAAAGGAGCCTCTTTAATTTTTATAGCTTCCTTGACTTGTTAATAACCTCACTTGGCAGTACCTTTCCTAAACTGTAGGATGCATTCTATTTGGGCTTCAATTAGTGTGGTTTTAAATAGCTTCCAAGTATCCTCTAGGGATCTGACTCTCTTGTGTTTCCCCTTCAGCTTCCTTTTTACTATTCTCCTCATTTTTGTAAGGCCCCACTGTCCTGGAGTAGGCTAGACACAAGGCGAGTCAGCCGGATCAATGCGCAAGCAAAGGGAGGTGAAGACACAGCTTATACCCAGGAATGACTGTAATCCCATAGATTTTACTCATTCTACCATGTTTCTGATAACTACTATATCCAAATTGTCATTGAACACCAAGCACTCCAGTTCCCCCATCTTGGCTTGGAGACTTCTAGCATTGACATATAGACACTATAATGTGTTTCCCTCTCCAGTAACCCTTGCCTACCTCGGCCCCTTAGTCACCACACATGGGCCTCAGTCGCCATCATACCCTCACTCCCAAGTTCTATTACGCTCCTATCAATACTACCTTGAATGTTTGCGCAATTATCCCTTTGGAATGACTTGCCCCAAGCAGAACGCTCCCCAGCTCCTGTTGGCTTCCCCCCCCAGGATTAATTTAAAAGCTGCTCTGACCAGGGCCGGCTCCAGCTTATTTTGCACCCTAGGCGAGGATCCCTTATGCCCCCCCCCACGCCCACCAATTTTCAAAAATAAATGCATTTTAGGAAGAATAAAAAACACAAATAATCAAGAAACTCCCAGAGTACGGGGCCGGGTGCAGTTTGATGCCCCTAAGGGCCATCCCGCCCTAGGCAATCGCCTAGTTCACCTAGTGAGTGAGCCGGCCCTGGCTCTGACAGTGTAGTGGTTAAGTGCACGGCCTCTAATTCGGGAGAACCGGGTGATTCCCCACTCCTGCACTTGCAGCTGCTGGATGCCCTCGGGCAAGCCATAGTTCTGTCAGAACTGTTCTTGAAAGAGCAGTTTCTGTCAGAGCTCTCTCAGCCCCACCTACCTCACAGGGTGTCTGTTGTGGGAAGGGAAAGGAGTTTGTAAGCTGTTCTGAGACTCCAAGTGAAGGGTGGGGTATTAATCCAATCTCTCTTTCTCTTCTTCTTCTTGATATTAGTTCCCAGCAGCCTGGTTCCCTTTTGGTTCGAATGAAGCCTGTCTCTTTTGTACAGGTTCAGCTTGTCCCAGAAAGTTCCCCAGTGCCTAACAAATCTAAACCCTTCCTCCTACTACCATTTTCTCATCCATGCATTGAGACACCTGATCTGTGCCTGTCTAGCTGGCCCTGCGCATGGAACTGGCAGCAATTCTGAGAATGCTACCTTTGAGGTCCTGGCCTTTCACTTTCTGCCTAGTAACCTAATTTGTTCCTCCAGGACCACATGACTACATTTCTCAATGTCATTGGTGTCAATGTGCACCATGACTGCTGACTCCTTCGTAGCACTGTCTATCAACCTATCTAGACAGCGTGTCATGTCCACAACCTTCACACCAGGCAGGCAAGTCACCATGTGGTCAAAACACCTGTCACCGACCCCATCTCTATATTCCTAATGATCAGATTACTCACTACCAGAAGTCCACCTCCCCCAGCTTCCCAGGGGTATCCTTGAGAGGATATTGGTCCATCACCCAAGGAAGGTGATCACATCCCTCCTCCTCAGACTGACGCCCTCCGAACTCAAGATTTTTATTCTCCACAACAGCAGAAAAGCTGTCAGCACAGGAATGGGACTGTTCTGGTAAGTCTCTGAGGGTCTCTTCCTCAAACCTCCCTCTCTGCCTCAGCTTTTCCAGGTCAGCAACCCTAGCCTCAAGAGCAATCCTAGCCTGAGAGCCACAAGCACACACCCATGTTTTCCACCCAATGGGTAGATGGTCGTACATGTGGCACTCTCTGCAAAACACTAGATAGTCCTTGCTCCTCTTCTGGCTCGTGCCTCTGCCTAAGAGGAGCCTTACAGTTCAGAGGCCCAGAGCTCCCCCTTCACAGCCTGCGATCAGCCCCAGGCAGACAGACCTTGTTCAATGAGCAACAGACCAGACAAAGACCCAGACAAAAACATCCCTGCTGTCTGGAGATCAGTTATAATTCTGAGAGATCTCCAGGACCGACCTGGAAGTTGGGAACCCTATTGGTTCCTTCCTTCCTTCCTTCCTTCCTTCCTTCCTTCCTTCCAAACGAACCTTCTAAGGAAAACAAGGAAAAGCGTCCCTTTCCTTCCTTCCTTCCTTCCTTCCTTCCTTCCTTCCTTCTCAAACGAACCTTCTAAGGAAAACAAGGAAAAGCGTCCCTTTTCCCCATTCATCAAAGCATCTTCTGTCTGGTCAGGTTCTACACATGAATCCTGATAATGGAGAGAAGGGTGTGTATGTGTGCATGTGTATGGATAAACACACCTAGCACAGATGTGTTCACGCTTTTGTAAGAGTTCATGTATGTCTTCTTCAACTCTGAATGTGAAGCAAAACTCTTCTCAAAGCCTCACCTCTGGAGCATGTGCTTAGCTTCATGACACAAATCTTCCCTCCCCATCCCCACTATGTTGTTGATACACATCTACAGCAATGGCAATCTCTGAAACCTCAGGAAATGGAAGAAATAAACAGCACAAGAAGTAAATGCGCCCCCTCGCCCAGATTGCCCGGAGGTTTGGGCTGGGGTGTCAACAATATGCAGATGACACCCAGCTCTATTTGATGTTGGGCGGCCAGTCGGACTCCAACCCAGAAGAACTGCACTGGGCTTTACAAGCCATGGCTGGGTGGCTCAGACTGAGCAGACTGAAATTAAACCCGGCAAAGACGGAGGTCCTGTGCTTGAGTCGGACTGGACCGGGGTTGGGGCTCCCGCTTCCGACCTTCGACGGGGCACCTTTGATGCCAACTTCGGAGGTTAGGAGTCTGGGAGTGCTCCTAGACCCCACCTTAACAATGGAGGCCCAGGTGGCAGCCACTGCCAGATCGGCCTTTTATCATCTTCGGCTGGTATAGCAGCTGGTTCCTTTCCTCGACCGCAACGACCTAGCCACAGTGATCCAGGCGACGGTCACCTCGAGGCTAGACTACTGTAACACTCTCTACATGGGGCTGCCTCTGTCGCAAATCCGGAAGCTGCAGCTGGTGCAGAATGCTGCGGCCAGGCTGTTGGTGGGCGCCCCTAGGTGGGAGCACACCCGACCTGTACTGAAAGTGCTGCACTGGCTGCCTATAGCATACCGGATTTGCTTCAAAGTGCTGGTGTTTACCTTTAAAGCCCTACATGGGCAGGGTCCAACATACCTGAGGGACCGCATTTCCCCACATATGCCCCAAAGAGCACTTCGGTCGGGGTCACAACACCGCCTGGTGACCCCGGGCCCCAAGGAAGCCAGACTTGTGGCAACAAGGGTCAGGGCCTTTTCAGTGGCGGCTCCTATCTGATGGAAAGAGCTCCTGGAGGAGATCAGGGCCCTGCGGGACCTTTTGCAGTTCCGCAGGGCCCGTAAGACGGAGCTCTTAAGCCAGGCTTTCGCGTAGGAGGCGCCACTGCCACTACCACCACCGCTCCACTATAGAGCGATACCGCCGGAGGGCCGAGTAACATCTATCTACGGCCCTGGCCCTCCCCTTCTGGTATGCAAGACGTTGGGATCTTTCTATTCTTGCATCCTGATTGAACTGAATTTTAACTGTTTTACCTACCGGTATTTTATATTGTATGTACTTTGTACCTTGTTGTAAGCCACCCTGAGCCCGCTCGCGAGGAGGGCGGGGTATAAATATAATGAAATAAATAAATAAATAACTGATGACGTTCCACTCTATAGGGGTAGAATGTTGCCTAATCATAGGGCTGTCTCTGAGAAACCCCAATATGTTCATGGTCCATGCAGGAACTTACACACTTGCAAATGTAGTTGAAGGTTACAGCAACAAGCACAAGCTAGTGGTAGGCAATGAATGATGCACCCATGGAGAAAGTAGTGGGAACATGGAAACCCTAGCAATAGCATAAGGAATAGCCAAGGCACATGTCTAGTCAAGCAAGGGAGCCAGCAATCCAGCGCAGCCATATACAAACTGGCAGAAGATTACAACTTTTAGAGCCAACTCAGACACCTCCTATGATGGGTCAGAGGGAGGAAGCATTCACTCGTTTTCAGGCATCAAATGTCATACAAGTTATTCAAGAGGCTAGATAACATGTCTAATTATTTGGGAAATAGCACTTTTTAACCTTTGCTTGTATTATGGGGTTTAGTAAGTTATCACGGGCACAGCTAATGCACTGGCTTTAGTGACTCTAGAGCCTTTCCTTGTTCAGGAGCTTCGGGGCAGCTTTGCTCAAGCTCTTTCCAACAGGCAGTAAAAGGAGCTTGGCCCTCCGGTGAAAGGGGTTGGGAATGGATCAACATATTAAATCTACTCCGGCATCACTATTTGAGATTTTCCCCAACTGCCACCCACCCACATTCTGATCTCAGCTTTCTTCCCTGATGTTGCAGGTCCCTGAGCACTGCACTCACCAGACACCTGGATGGTGAAGGTCATGCTGTCACCAACAGCGTTGCAGATGTATTTCCCAGAATGCTCTGGGCCAGCTGCAGGGATGATCAGACACCGCTGGGTACCCGCTTCCTCCAGGACAAGACCGCTGTTGGCCTCTAGCGTGACACCGTCCTTAACCCAGCGGACAGGCGCATTCGCATGAGAGAGCACACAGGCCAGAGTCACTGTCTCCCCCGTTGAGACCTTCTGAACAGAGGGAGACCTGCGGGGCCACACGATCTTCACAGGGCACTCTGAAAGGAGAGGGCAGGTAGCCCATGTTTGAGGCAGCGACAGACAACATTGTTGCTGCTGGCCCATATCACAATCTTTTATCGGAAGGGAGCATCTGTGACAGTTGCCCTTATTCTGTGGTAAAAGGGCTCAGGTACGCAGGCAATCCATTTTCTTCCCAGCATCTTGTTAATCCCCATTCCAGCTTAATACTGGAGCTGAAATTTTTGTGCAAACACGCTTCCACTGGCAGCCACTAGCGTCCCCCACCCCATACACCATCCCTCCTCTGTCCCCAAGACAATCATCTCCCATATTCTTTTCAGACTCTGAAAAAATTATGGTGCTTGAAGCACTCTTTGGCTGTATTTTTTTAAACCCTCATGGGTGGAAAGCAGCCAGGATGCTTTCCGTTGTAAAGACCCCCCAAGAATGAAGAATTAAAATCTCCTCCCCATTGGTTTTAAAATGAAAGAAAGCATGTGCACAGTAAAGAAAACTATGCGTGACTGTGTCAGGTATAGTTTGGCCCGCTGTTTGTTCAAAGAATCAGTCCTTCTACCCTATTGACTTTTCCAGTAATTACTGACAGCCCTGTTTAAACAGGCCCTAGAAACTGAAGCAACATCAAAGGGTAACTCTCCATTGTTAAATCCAAAGCAAAGCTCTCTTCCCTATACCTCCATTCATATACCACCCAATGATGGAATTAGCTCTTTACACTGCAGCATCACAGCTTTGGAATCTTATGTCCAAACATTTGCCCTAACACATGTGCAGAACCTACTTCTATGTATTTGGTTAGAGCATATATTCGTCAGTGGGTTCTCAACTCTCCCAGGTGCAGCAATGGAAGGATGCACTTAGACACAGTGTAATGCTGGTTCCCCCCAACCCCACCTAGGATGTTCTCCGCTCCTTAGGCATATACTTAGCAAAGCTCTGGCATTTCCAACACTCTGCAAAGCCAAGGCTTTGGCTAGCAAAAGCTTGCATACTGCATTAAGAACATTGGTTGGTCCTAATTAAGGGTAGTATTTTACTTCCCTTGTGGATCTAGGTCAACAGGGATTTCGAGATCACTGCAAGCAATATGGAGGCCAATCCTCAAACTATGGATCCCCATCAAAACTGCATAACATGCACAGATTCTTTGCATTTAAGCTTTGAGCCTTTTTATTATACAAAAAAATTAACAGAAAGAAAGGGTGGTTCCACACATAATATGTTTGCATTGTTGACTAGTCCCTTTCCTGCATGAAAGGTGATCGTGTAACACCCCGATCAATCCATGGATTAAACTAAATGTTATAAGCGGCATGGAGCTGCCATCACTCTAGGCCTCTTTACTCTCTTTCCTATATTGTCTAACACAAAACAATGCATGATGGGATGCCATGGTATGTCCACACCCCCGTATCTCATAACCGACCAGCAAGGGAAAGGGATAGGGAGATGATGTCGCACCACAAGGCGTCTGCGTGAGAGAGAGAGAGAGAGAGAGAGAGAGAGAGAGAGAGAGAGACAGACAGACAGACAGACAGACAGACAGACAGACAGACAGACTGTGGCCCCATGTCTGTTATAACACACCCTGTCATTACCAATCTTGTATAGATATTTATGTATAAAGGAATGTTTTAATCAAAGTGGCCTTGGAACAATATACTACATCTGACAAAAATCTACCAGTATTAACATATGCAAACCCAAAATAGAAGACTACTGAAGACTGTGACTTAGGGCTGCCAAGTGGCAGCGGGGGATCTGCCGCGGGGACGGCGACACACGTTGCACCCGCCGTCGCCAGGATGTGACACTACGCGTCGCTCTGGCAACGCGTAGCGTCACATCCTGGCGACGGCAGGTGCAACGTGTGTCGCCGTCCCCGCGGCAGAGCTCCGGTAAAAACTCGCAGATCCCCCGCTGCCACTTGGCAGCCCTACTGTGACTAGAGCAAAAACAGCAGTGTTTACAGATTGGCCACTTTAGAACAAGGTTTGGGCCTGATATTTTAAGAATTTAATATCCTATTCTGGGTTAGTCTTACTGCTGGGTTCACTCTGGGGCTTAATTTCAGAGGTGCCGACCCAGGCCCAGCTGCTTACCTGAAACTCTGACATCGAAGGAGACAGACTCGTCCTTGGTTTCACAGATGTATTCTCCAGCATCTTCAGCACTTGCCTGCAGGACGACAAGGAGGTGCTTAGCACCCTCCGTGTGCAGCAAGAGGTTGTGCGTTTCATCCACCTCCAGGCCATCCTTGAACCAGCGCACAGGAGCATCAGGCACGGACACCTCACAGCTCAGCTCCAGGCGCTCACGCCCACACACTTGTCTCTCCAGTGAACGCTCCACTGGCTGTAAAATCCGCACAGGGGGCTCTGCCAAACAGACACAGTACAGGAGTGTAAGAGGCCTCATCCATTCACATGCCCAGCCTTACATCACAGGAGGACCAGACTTCATGCTACATGGGTGAAGTGTATTTAACCCCCAATCACTGCTGTTTCTATGGAAAAGCAGGTTCTAGAAGGTCGATGTTCAGTGGCAGCAGAAAAGAACGTACTTAACGCTTCCATCCACCCCTTTCTCCTGCAAACCATCTCCCCCCCCCACTACCTTGTCCCACCCAGAGATTCTATGTACATATTTGTAAGGGGTGTGTGAAATCATACAGGGTGAGAGACTGCAGTAGAGAAACAGAAAGATTAAACTTACATACTCTGAACAGGGCTCTTTTTGTAGAAAAAGCCCAGCAGGAACTCATTAGCATAATAGGCCACACCCAACAGCAGGAACTCATTAGCATATTGGGCCACACCCCTGACAGCACAGCTCATTAGCACATTAGGCCGCACCCCCATGTTACCAGAACTGTGGTTATCCAGCCACACCTACCTTTCGCTTGTTATTCTGTCAAAACCCAGGGCCTCTTTTTGTAGCCGGAACTCCTTTGCATGTTAGGCCACACACCCCTAATGTAGCCAATCCTAATGAGTTTCTGCTGTTGGGTGTGGCCTATTATGCTAATGAGTTCCTGCTGGGCGTGGCCAACTTGGGAGCCAGCCGGAACTCCGTTCCTGTGCGTTCCTGCCCCAAAATAGCCCTGCATACTCATAGTGTTGCGTCTCCAAAGAAACCTTTTCTCTAGTAGAAACACTATTCCACATGTGCTTGTGTTTAACAAATTTGGTCCCTTAAAAGCTCCTTCCATGGCTGCAAAGCCATGCCAGAGACACGGCTTCACCTTGTGCAGTATCCAATGCCTGGTGTGATGTAAGTGCCTCTGAGCCCGACTGCCACTCAGACGGTTACAAACCCTGTCTGCTCTGCATTCCTTCCCTAGAGGACTCTGACACGCTAACTCAGATCCACAATACTTGGCATACTCAGAATGGAAAGGACGACAACATCTAGGTACCAAAGTGCCTCAAACCAGGTACTTCTTTCTCCCCAAATATTAGAACTCAGGACAGCCCAATTAAATGGATGGCCAGTAGATTCTAGAGAAACCAAAGAAAGGCCCCAGTCACACGGGCCGGATATCGCAGGGGGGAGGCGTGGCTAATTGGCCCGGAGGAAACTAACGCGCAGCTGCCCGAGCAAACGTCCAGGTCGAGGTCCTGTGGTTAGGGGGGAGATGCCGACCAGACAGGTATCCTGCAGCGCGGCATAGAAGCCACGCTGCGCGATCACACTAGCAATCGCTCTTTGTGCGCATGCGCTGTTGGGCGCTGTTGCGCAACCTGCGGAGCCAGGAGCTGGATGCCACGTAAGTCTACCGGGAACGCGATCGGACACCCGCCCTTGCGCCACGGTTTCCGGAAACTAGTGCCTCGGAGGTACTAGTTTTTTATATCGCATCTTCAGTGGGAAGCCTCAGGTAAGCCATAGGAGCTCTACGCTTCCCAGATGTTGTGGTGTGATCACGCCCGGAAAATCCGCCTATCTTCCGTCTCTGTAGCGTGGCTAATGCTCCGTGTGACCGCAGCCAAAGTACTTTTTTCACACGGTGCATAATTTGCTTGTAGAACTCACTGCCATGGGAAGGAGTCACAGCCTCTAGTTTAAATGGCTTCAAATCAATGTAGGCTATGTCCACCAATAGCTACCAGCCATGATGGCTGAACAGGACCCCCATGCTCAGAGGCTGGCAACCCCTGAATGCCTCTCGGTGAGGAGCAGCAACTGAGGGGGGGCTTTGGTCTGCATGCCCCTTGCTGTGAGCCTTGTGGGGCATCCGTCCTGCAACCGTGGGAAACGGGGTGATGGACTAGATAGACCTGGGGGTCCCCCAGCATGGTGCCTGCTGGTGCCATGGTGCCCGCCAACACTTTTCCTGGTGCCCACCAACTGTCTTTGGAAAGTGGGCCAGGCCAGGTGTTGAGGCTTTTGCCCAGTAGGGCTTCTGATTGGCCACGGGCAGGGCTATTTTTGGGCAGGAACGCACAGGAACGGAGTTCCGGCTGGCTCCTGAGTTGGCCACACCCAGCAGGAGCTCATTAGCATAATAGGCCACACCCAACAGCAGAAACTCATTGGGATTGGCTACATTCGGGGTGTGTGGCCTAACATGCAAAGGAGTTCCTGCTACAAAAAAAGGCCCTGGGTTTTGACAACAAACAAGGTAAATAGAATAAGAAGCAAAAGGTGGGTGTGGCTGGATGACCACACTTCTGGTAATGTGGGGGTGTGGCCTAATATGCTAATGAGCTGCTATCTCGGGGTGTGGCCTAATATGCTAATGTGTTTCTGCTGTTGGGTGTGGCCTATTCTGCTACTGAGTTCCTGCTGGGCTTTTTCTACAAAAAAACCCCTGGCCACGGGTGACCTGATGGCTTGGGCAGATCTTTAAAAGTTGGTTTGGCAGCAGCTGCTACCACAGCACGAGGATCTTCACTGCATGTCTGCAGAAAAGCTGTGTCTATGCAAGGAAATATTTTTTTTTAAAAAATAGGCTCATTTTAAAAGGGACCCTGTTAAACACAGCTTCTGCCTGAAATGCTGAAGAGTTACTGCTAGAGTGATGTGTGACCTCACTCGTTTTGTGGTTTGCCCCACCTCCCCTGGCAGCCACTGCCACAAACCCGTGTCAGAATCCCAAAGCCGCCCGTAGGCTCCAAAAAGCTGAGGACCCTTGAGACAGACCATTGCTTTGATCCAGCAGGACTCTTCTTTAAAAAGCTCTCAGAGAAACATTAACAGGCAGCTATTCATACTCCTATTCACATAGGAGCTGCGGTGGCTCAAGTGGTTAAGACGCTGAACTGCAGGCTGTGGAAGGTCGGTAGTTCAGAAGGTCGAGACCCGAGTGTGCCGCATGACAGAGTGAGCTCCCATCTCTCGTTCCAGCTCCTCCCAACTTAGCAGTTCGAAAGCAAGAAATTGCAAGTAGATAAATAGGGACCACTTCAGTGGGAAGGTAACAGCGTTCCGTGTGCCTTGGTGTTTAGTCATGCCGGCCACATGACCACGGAAACGTCTTCGGACAGCGCTGGCTCTTCAGCTTTTAAACGGAGATGAGCACCGCAACCCTAGAATTGGATTCGACTGGCTTTTGAGCAAGGGAACCTTTACCTTTTATTCACACTTCATGGGAGAAGGGAGTATTAATTGGGCACAAATTCTACCCACTGCTGCCAGACCTAAGAGGGTCACTCACCAGCAACAGTAACACTGAAAAAGATGGAATCCCCACCAGCCTCACACACAAACTCTCCTGTGTCCTGAGCCTGAGCAGCAGCTATGACCAGACGGCGATGGGGTCCCTCGCTCTCCAACAGGAAGCCCTCCTTCTCCTCTACCTCCTCACCATCCTTATACCAGCGAACAGGAGCCTCTGTGCTGGATAGTTCACAGGCCAGCACCACACGTTGTGAGACCTGGTACACATGAGCGGCATCCACATTGGAGTGCACAACACGAACAGGCGGTTCTGCAATTGGAAACACCAGAATGGCATGGGACATTAAAAAAAACAAACACAAAAGCGTCATTTCGAATGTAAGCTATGCATGGGGGGAGGGGAGAGGAAGGCGTGAAAGAGGTTCCGAGCTGTGCCATTTATTAATTCTGTTTGGAAAGAGATTTGCAGCTCTATCTGTTTCTGGTATTGGAACGCAGAGGAGTGGTCATAAGAACATAAGAGACGTCAATGGTGGATCAGGCCAAAGGCCCATCCAGTCCAACACTCTGTATCACACAGTGGCCAGAAATACCAGTGCCATCAGGAGGTCCACCAGTGGGGCCAGGACATTAGAAGCCCTCCCACTGTTGACCACCACCCCAAGCACCAAGAAGACAGAGGATCCCTTGCCCCAGACTGAGAGTTCCTAAGAACATAAGAGACGCCAATGTTGGATCAGGCCAAAGGCCCATCCAGTCCAACACTCTGTGTCACACAGGGGCCAGAAATACCAGTGCCATCAGGAGGTCCACCAGTGGGGCCAGGACACTAGAAGCCCTCCCATTGTTGACCCCCCTCCCAAGCACCAAGATGACAGAGCATCACTTGCCCCAGAGTCCCTATCTATACCTTGTGGCTAATAGCCACTGATGGACCTCTGCTCCATATGCTTATCTAATTCCCTTTTGAAGCCGTCCATGCTTGTAGCCGCCACCACTTCCTGTGGCAGTGAATTTCAAGTGTTAATCACTCTTTGGGTGAAGAAGGACTTCCTTTTATCCATTCTAACCCGACCGCTCAGCAATTTCATGGCGTGCCCACGAGTTCTTGTATTGTGACTGGGTCCCTAGGGGCCAGAAATACCAGTGCCATCAGGAGGTCCACCAGTGGGGCCAGGACACTAGAAGCCCTCCCACTGTTGACCCCCCTCCCAAGCACCAAGATGACAGAGCATCACTTGCCCCAGAGTCCCTATCTATACCTTGTGGCTAATAGCCACTGATGGACCTCTGCTCCATATGCTTATCTAATTCCCTTTTGAAGCCGTCCATGCTTGTAGCCGCCACCACTTCCTGTGGCAGTGAATTTCAAGTGTTAATCACTCTTTGGGTGAAGAAGGACTTCCTTTTATCCATTCTAACCCGACCGCTCAGCAATTTCATGGCGTGCCCACGAGTTCTTGTATTGTGACTGGGTCCCTAGGGCCCAGTCACAAAAAGTGATGAGCTGTAAGGCAAAAGACTGGCAGAGGTAAGGCTGGTCTCGAGCAGTGAGGTCTGGTCCAGGTCCAAGGGTTATGGTGGAAAGGAAGACCAAGTGACTGCCCTGAGGCACCATCTCCAGTTCCAAAGCCTCTCAGATCAGCCAGAAGCAGCCCATGAGGACAAGGCACAGTCCCATTCCTCTTCCCCAAGGTTTACACGCCTCTATAGGTGTGGGTGCAAACCACCACCACCCCTTGTTCATATGCGCCAGGTGATGCCTCCTCACCAAAGGCAGAAGGAATGAGTGAGACTTTTTAAGGCTAGTTAAAGACCATCCCAAGGTTGTTTTAAAGGAAAACAAAACTTACTTTATTAAACCTATCAAGTATCAGTGCTCCCAGGCAAGACGCCAGCTATACGCTTCGCCAGAATTTTAAACAATACAAGTCTTATTTCCTAAAGAGATAATATGCAAGCAAATGAACTAACAAAGATTTCTCCTACAGAGCATGCGCGCAGGGGCTCCTGGACTGACCAGGGGCCTTCAGGAGAGAAAAAGAATCTCACTGAATCCTAAGAGTCAGTGCCGAACTGCCCAAAAGGACTCCAATTTATACAGAATTAATCAAAGATTTTGCATGGGCTGTTACAAATGTTGATGACCAGGTGTTTTTTAAAAATTGTGAGACCCTTTCACGCAAGAGATGTCCTCACATTCCAGGATTTATATTTTATTTTCAAAATAACACAAGACAGCACTTCCGATTCTAAATGACAACCATGAAATCAGAATGTTCTTTTGTGTTCGCGGTGTGAGATAAGAGACATGACGCAGTCTGCTGAAGCCAAATTACTGTACTGTGAAATTACTGCAGAGTTTTAAACTATAGGGAAACAATGTGGGTTTGTGACAGGGGAAAAAATGCCTTTTGAAACAAAGAGACGGGCATTGCATTTTGGGAGTCTTGCCCTGTGTGCTGAAAGCGGCTTGCTAACTGAAAGGACAGAAACAGTTATAGGATTTCTGTGTATAAAGGGTTCAATTCTCTGATCCAAACCTCTTACTATTAAAATTCTCTTACAACACTCACCCTCCACTGTCACAGTGAAGTCTATGGTGTCATCAGCTGTGTCGCATGTGTATGTCCCCGAGTCCAGTGGGCAGGAAGAACGGATCAACAGCTGACGAATGCAGCCCTCTGATTGGACAGTCAAGTTGTCATCATCCAAGGGCACAGGATCGCCATCCTTGAACCACTGGACAGGGGCGTCAGAGGCAGAGACCTCACACTCCAGGAGGAGAGGCATCCCAGTCTGGACTGCATGACGGCACTGGGCCTCTGCCAAAGGACTGATGTGCACCTTAGGAGCTGAAGAGAGACAAAGGAAATGTGTCTGAAGAAAGACGGTGCGAAATAACCCTCACCTCCCATAGACAACGTTCCATACACAAGTCATGTGAATTCTGCTGGAGTGAAATATCCTCCCTTCATCATTAAGAGCTTCCTGCATATTACGCAGATACACAGAAATAGCTTAATTCCTAAAAAAAGAGGTGACCGGACTCAAGCCAACTTGAGTATCATGTTCAAGTGTCAGTTCCAGATGAGTGGGGCTAACTGTGGTTATTCAGGGATAAGGAAAATACCCTTTCTTGTACTGCTTCTCATGTTATAAAACTGAGGACCCAACCACATGCTACACTGTTTCTAGGTCCACATTGGGACCTTGTCAAACCAGACGAATGCTAGGAGTTCTGTGTTTGGAGCTCCCAGTAATTAATTCTCAGGTTTATGGTAATTAATTCTCAGGTTTATGGGAGCCTGATTTGGATTGGCACATGGGTAGAGAGGACTTAAGCCTTCCGATGGCAATGTTTTCCCAACCTGAAATGGCCACCCGAGAAGCCTCTAATTTGCCCTGCTGGGGAGTCTTATGTGCAATGAGGCAATGTGTGTAAACAGTGTGATGTGGTTAGGCCTAAATCAAGCTGAGCCATGTCACTGAACACAGGTTCATTCGTGAGTCCCCAGAGGGTCCCCAGTTTCCATACGGTCTGATCAGCACTTTCTGAATAGGGTTGCCAGCCTCCAGGTGGGGCCTGGGGATCTCCCGCTTTCACAACTGATCCCCAGCTAACAGAGATCAGCTCCCCTGGAGAAAATGGCTGCTTTGAAGGGTGGACTCTATGGCATGGGGCCATGCTGAGGGCCCTCCCCTCCCCAAACCCCTCCCTCTCCTGGCTCCTCCCCCAAAGTCTCCAGGTATTTTCCAACCAGGATAGGGCTGCCAAGTGGGGGCGGGTGGTGGGTAAACCCCTGCTTTGGAGGCCCGGTTTCTGCCGCCGCGGAATCGGGCCCCGGGGGGAACTCCGCCCCCAAAGCGTAACGTGGCTGCGTCACCGGAGGTGACACAACCACGTTGGGGGCATGGCCCGGATCGTCGGAGGGAAAACTCTATGGTTTTCCTTCTGACGATCCGGGCCACGCCCCCAACGTGGTCGATGTCGCACGTCACTTCTGGTGATGCGCTGGCGGTGCGCGCGCACATCCGAGTACGGCTCCCGGAGCCCGGCAAGGCTCCCCCACCGGTGAGTTTTTTTGACTTGGCAACCCTACTTCTGAATGTAGACAGATGAGTAGCAAACAGTGCCAGGCAGAGAGCCTTGGGTTGCGGAGAGGTCTAGGTGGAAGAACTTCCCTCCACAATCTGGGTTACGGTCCTGCTTCCCAAATGGTGGCTTTTAAATGAGGACAGGAAGTGCAAGCTGCATGTTACTCTTGCCTTTCTCTGTCTGGGCTCCTCTTGAGTGGGATGTCTCTCAAGTTACAGCAACTTGTAGTAATGGACAAAGAGTTTTCTGTGAATCGTGATTTGGAAAGCAGCCAGAGCTGAACTCGGCTTCCCTCGTGAGGCACTTATACAACAACAACAATAAACCAAACCAAAGAAGTTTAAATTAACTTTACAGAGAAGTTAAAATGAAAGTGCAAAATGTAATCGAATAGTTATTGAATGAAGAATTGATATTCAGAGAGGTCTTCAGGAGATAATTCAATTTAGAATCCACTATAGTAATGTTTAGGTGAGTTATAATTCTCTTCCCTGACTGGAACGCCAGTTGGGAAAGGATTTGCTTTTGTCATTATTTTAGATTTCACTTTTATTGTTTATTATAGCTATTTATTGTTTGCTACACATTCATGATATAATATATGTGGGAGTAGGCTTGTATATAACAATGTTGAAAGCGAAGAAACATTGCAGAGAACCTGGCTGGGAGGGGAGAGAAGAAGCAAATATCATTACCCATCAGGCCACTGGGGCTCTCTTAATGTTTCCACTACAAGCCTAGCGGCTTCCAATATTTTTAGAGCACTACAGGCTCCCATGGGGATCCCTAAAGTTGCCCCTTAAGCATAGCGCTGTATTCAAGTCTTCACTCAATGCTTATCCAAATCTATTCATGGGGGAAGCCCCTAATCATCAGCTGACCAGCTAGGCATTTCGATCAGAATTTTTTCAATATAGCTTTGCTGGTGGAAACTATACATTGTGAAGGGCTCCTACCTGGTGGAATGAGCTCCCGAGGGAGATCCGGGCCCTGCGGGACCTTATGCAGTTCCGCAGGGCCTGCAAGACGGAGCTCTTCCACCAGGCCTTTGAGTAGGAGCCGCTGCCCCATTATACCACCACCATTAAGGTATCTCAAAGGATGCATCAACGAGGCCCAAGGAAGATGTTGGAAATTGTAGAAGAGCTTCGACCATCGTCACTGGACACGTACTTTTTGGGAGCACCATCTGTAACTGTGGAGTTCCCATCTTGGACTTAGGACATCAGTTACGAATTGAGCACAGTGGTTTTAATGTTGAATGTTTATTATGTTTTTATATGTTTTTATTCTGGCATGGTTGTGTCCTGCCCTTGTTAGCCGCCCTGAGCCCACCTGGGGAGGGCGGGATATAAATATGAAAAATAAATAAATAAATAAATAAAATAAAGGTGTTATGAAGTCCTTGCTGCACCCGTATGTCCACTCTGGTCCTGTTCATGAGACATGTTCTGGGAGTTCTGCATATGACACTTAATTCCCAGGTGCACGTGGGCCCAATCAGAAGTGAGACTGTGAGATGGAGGCTTAAGCCTTCCCCTGTACTGTTTTCCTGACCTGCAGACCAGCTATTTGCCCCACTGGTGAAATTTACCTGTCCTGATGGGCTACAGGTAAGTTGCCCAATAGGGCAAACCAGGGGTCCCAGGTGTGGGTGTTGCTGGCAAGGAAATTGGCATAGAGGGAAGGTTTAATTCCCCCCCCCTCCTTCCATGCACCTGGAAATAAAGGGGCTTGAGTAACTTGAGCACAGGTGATGAAGGAGGTTGAATGCACTTGTTCTCTAGGCCCCTGAAAGCCTCCCCCATGACAGCTTTGGGGCTGAGCAGCATCCTCAGACATGTGCACACACCCTTTGGCCTCTAAAGCCATCACAAGCTAGGCAGTTACTGCAGCCCTGTGAGCAAGCCAGAAAGCACCTGGATGAGCAGAAACGCTACAGAAGCTCTCCCTAGGCCTGACTGTATACAACTGGCTCCAGGGAGAGCCACTCTGCTCTTGGGCACTCGTCTATGATATAAATATATACTGTGGCCCATGACCGATATGCTGTGTGGCAGAACACGCCTGCTGTGGCTGCAGGCCCTATTCTGCCCTGCCCTCCTGGGAGTTTCTCCACACCTTGGAGGGGCTTTTCTTCCACTTTCAGGTAGCCTGCTACCACCACCTGACTCTTTGTACGGAATTGCCCGCTGGGAGAGTCAGGACTCACAGCTTCCCTTCACTTCCGAGTTCTGAGGCTTTGCCTCTGTGTCTCCTGCTGCCCAGCACCTGGTCACCATGGGGACAGTGGGCAGGTGAAGCTGTGGACATGCTAAACCTGTGTCTGGCTACGATGATGGACGGGATGAGGGCTAACAAGCTGAAACTCATTCCAGACAAAACTGAGATGCTGTTGGTGGATAATTCCTTTGACTGGATGGGGGGTGTTCAACTTGTTCTAAACTGGGATGCACTCCCCCCCGAAGGAGCAGGTTCGCAGGTTGGGGGTGCTCCTTGATCTATCTCTGTCACTTGAGGCTCAGGTGGCATCGGTGGCTCGGAGTGCTTTCTACCAGCTTCGGCTAGTGGCCCAGTTGCATCCCTGTCTGGACAGGGATAGCCTGCTCTGGAAAACTCCAGGTTAGATTACTGCAACACACTCTACATGGGGCTGCCCTTGAAGACGGTTCAGAAGCTGAAGCTGGTGCAGAATGCAGCAGCTAGATTAATAACTGGGACCCAGAGGTCTGAACACATAAGGCCAGTTCTGGCCCACCTGCACTGGCTGCCTGTATGCTTCTAGTCCCAATTCAAGGTGCTGGTTTTAACCTATAAAGCCCTACACAGCTTAGGACCACAATATCTATTGGAGTGCCTCTCCCAACCCCAATCTACCCGGACACTCTGCTCAACCTCTGGGGCCTTCCTCTGGGTGCCCATCCCTCAAGAGGCTCAGAGGGTGGCAACTGGGGGAGGGCCTTTTTGGTGGTGGCCCCAGGCCCGTAGCTACATTGAATAATTTTGGGGCCCGGCCCCCCCAACTTTCCATCAGGGCCCCCCAACTTACTACCCTGGACAGGCAGGCAGGCAACCAGGCAGGCCCCAGACAAGATGCGCTCGCCGGCCGGCCAGTGGGCATAGTGCCCGGCAACCCAGCGCAACCCTCCTCCCTCACCTCGCTTCACCCCATCGTGCTCCGCTCCACCCCTGGTGGCCGCCTCGCCGTCTCCAGCCCCAGCCCCATGCTGGGCAGAGCGAGTGAGCACCCCTGCCTGCCTGCCTTCGTGCCGACGGTCGGGATGGGACGGGACAGGACAGTGAGTGGGCCCATTGGGGGCTGCAGAGTCACCTTCAGACACCCGCCTGCCTTTCTCTGCTCCCTTTGACACCCGCCCGACGGCGCCTGCAGTGCCACCTCTGAGAGGAAACAGTGGAGGAGGAGGAGGGGGGCCCCCTTCACCTCCAGGCGGCTCTATTCCCTCCCACGGCAGCGCACTCCCTTCCCAACTCTTACAGTGGGGAAACAGCCATCCACGGGCCTGGACCTGCTGCTGCTGTTGCTTGGGGAGGGAGTGGGGAGATGGCCGTGACGCCATTGCCGATCAGGGTGGAGCACATGGAGGAGAGCGGAGAAGAGATGAGGCGGCTGCAGCCTGCAGCAGCGCGCCTCCGTCCCAGGCTGGCCACGCTCGGCCTTGACTGGCTGAAGGGTCTCCTAGCAGGGCGCACGCGAGCGCACTCGCACATTCCTCAACAACCTCACCTTCCCATCTGCCTTCCCCACCCGGCCCCTGTAAAAGGGAGAGCGGTGGCTGGCTGGCTGGGGGCTCTCCAAGTGGGCGAGTGCACCGGCGCACTCCTCCACCACCGCCATCCCGCCCTGCCTACAGGGTGAGTGAGGGGGGGTAGGGGTCCAGGCTAGAGAAGTCCCCTCTGTGGGGGAGAAGAGGAAGAGGCCATCAGATGCTGCTGGGTGAAAGGGGCACCTACTTTAACCAAATCAATAAGGTGCCCCCTGATAAATTTAATGCCCCCCCCCGACACAAGAAATCCTGGCTAAGGGCCTGGGCGCCCCCCCCTTCTTTGGAACAACCTCCCTGCTGCAGCCCGCCTGGCTCCAAATTTGCCATCTTTTCGGTTAAGACTGCCTTCTTTGCAAAGGCCTTTAAAGACTTCCCTAGTCATGCAGGGGCCCGCTACAATTAGCCAGATTACTGTTTTTTCACTCTGCATTAGGTCTTTTTGGGGTCTGGTCTATTGTTTTTAATGTTTTTAATGTTATTTTAAATGAATGCTTAACTCTTAACATTTTATCTATTGTATGCTATTGTTTTTATACTTCTTGTAAACTGCCCAGAGAGCTTCTGCTATGGGCAGTATAGAATTGAAATGAATAATAAATAATAATACTCATTTATGGTCATGTGCACCCCTGAAGGAATAGCCACTTGCCAACTGCCTTCCTTCCTCCTGGCACTTCTTTTAAAACAATGTGCCTGGTGGAGGTCTATGTGGTACAGAGAACCCCTGCCAGCATCCAAAATTATTAAGTATTTATTAAAAAAGAAAATGTTTAGAAGCATATTTTAGCACAGCAGCAAATTGAGCAAGGGAACCAAAAGAAATGGGAAAAACAAAAACCTTCTGTCCCTTTCTTTATATATGCCCTAAAGGTAAAGGTTCCCTTGCTTGAAAGCCAGTCAAATCCAACTCTAGGGTTGTGATGCTCATCTCCGTTTCAAAGCCAAAGAGCCAGAGCTGTCTGAAGACGTTTCCGTGGTCATGTGGCCGGCATGACTAAACACCAAGGTGCACGGAACGCTGTTACCTTCCCACCAAAGTGGTACCTATTTATCTACTTGCAATCTCTTGCTTTCGAACTGCTAGGCTGGCAGGAGCTGGAACTAGAGACGGGAGCTCACTCCATCATGCGGCACCCGGGTCTCGAACTGATGAACTACTGACCTTCCACAGCCTGCAGTTCAGCGTGCCCTATCAGATGTTAAAATAGGACAGGCTCCTTTTGCTTAGGATATTATAGATCCCTTTAGAGTCTCAATTACCTTGAAGCTTGCTCCAGCTTTTGAGGCAAGCACATGGTCAACGGCTGCCTTGCCAGTGGAGAGGTCTGTGTGGGCTCATCGGTGCAGGGCCCAAGGAAGAGAGAGCTCCTTCCTGTTGCAAGGAGCTTTTATCATGTCTGTTATCATGCCTGCTCTTACTGAAAATTCTAAACATTTCCTTCCTGGTGTCCCTCTAGCACTTCATTCCTTCAAAAATCCCTGTTCCCTGCTAGAAAGAGGGGGGGAAAGGGGAGGTTTTGGTCCTCTCAAACATCCCAGGAAAAAATGCATTCCTTCACATGCTGCAATAAAAGAAATATTGGGTTGAGATTGGGAGAAGATTACTTCCTGCTCTGTCATGAAGAATACTGAGTAATCCTTGGCAACTCATCACGTTTTAACTTAAATCTGCCTCAAACAATTTCATGAGGATAAAAGATTATCAGGATATCTTGCTACTTGCCCTGAGACCTTGGGGTAGGATAAGAAAGACAATACATACAAAACTGTATTGCTGTTAGGTTGTCAAAGGCTTTCACGGCCAGAGTTCATTAGTTGTTGTAGATTTTCCAGTGTGGTATGAATGGGAATATAAAGATTTTCATATATAGGTTTTTTTCTTCTTGATTGTTCATATTCATATTTCTCTGGTTTTTATAGATTTATTCTTTAAGTAATATTTTATTAGGATGTTAGAAAGGCCTGTTATATAGAAGGCTTTCCTCTTGTAGGTCTGATATTGTTAGCAGACAACATAATAGGTACAAAGTTCTTAGGGCAAACCTTTCAATGTCTGGGTCAGATAGGATTTTAGTCTGATATGAAGAATCCTTGCCCATTATCATTTAGGTTAGGTTAAGTAAACACTTAGTTTGACGTAGATATATGTTTCTTTATATCTGGCCAATCAGAGGATTATGATGTCAGTCCATGTATAAAATATCATGTATTTCCTGAATATGTTCAGAATAGGCTCAAGAAGATGAAGAAGAAAAGGAAGAAATTTGTCAATTTTTGATTAACTATTTGGTCTAATTGTTTTCCTGTTAATCGAAGCATATTTCCTGAATATGCTGAGAAGAAAGTAGTCAATTTTGGATGGACTATTTGGTCCAATTGTTTTTCTGTTAATTGAAATAAAACATAGATCTTCCTCCTCATTTGACTTCATTTTTGACATGGAATCTAATATGTACAACACCGGGTTGTATGGCTGTGGTCTTGGCATTGTAGGACCTGACGTTTTGCTATTGTAGAACCTGGTGTTTTGCCAGTCACAGCTGCTGGCAAAACGTCAGGTTCTACAATGCCAAGATCACGGCCATACAGCCCGGAAAATCTACAAAAACTAATGTATTGCTGTTATTTATTTCCAGTGGTTCTTAATTTCATTTTCTCATAAATATCTATTCAGCATTCAATACATATTCAATTACATATAGTACTTTCATTTAAACTTATCCATAAAGAAAATGTATATTTCTCCAGTTGTCTCTCAGACTGTCGGATAACTTGTAGTATGGGGGAAACCACAGTTAACCTCTGCCCCTCTCTGCCCTTCTAAGATATGTCAGTTCAGTGAAATCCAAGTCCACCCTCACTACTTTCCAAGAACACTCTCCCACTAAATCACTAGCCAACCATATTGGGAGGGTGCAAAAGAATTATTGACATTTAAGCAAAAATGATGTGGCATAATAAAGCCTCACCAGATATTGCTCCTGCCACTACAGAAACTGCACCCATTCCACTGACACCACAATTGTATTGATCAGCACAGAAGACAGGTAATACACTTGCCATGCCATGAAGTTCACTATATGTCCCATCAGTGGAAAGTGCTGCTGTAAGAACATAAGAACATAAGAGAAGCCAACGTTGGATCAGGCCAATGGCCCATCTAGTCCAACACTGTGTCACACAGTGGCCAGAAATAAAAGGTGCCATCAGGAGGTCCAGCAGTGAAGCCAGGACACTAGAAGCCCTCCCACTGTTGACCCCCCCCCCCCAAGCACCAAGAATACAGAGCATCACCTGCCCCAGACTGGAAGTTCCTACACTCTGTCACACAGTGGCCAAAAATACCAGGTGCCATCAGGAAGTCCAGCAGTGGGGCCAGGGCACTAGAAGCACTCCCACTGTTGCCCCCCCCCCCAAGCACCAGTGACATAAAACCCCCCCCATTTTGCCCCCCCCCCCAAGCACCAAGAATACAGAGCATCACCTGCCCCAGACTGGAAGTTCCTATCTATACCTTGTGGCTAAGAGCCACTGATGGACTTCTGCTCCATATGTTCATGAGTTTTCAGTATACAGATTGAAAACTTAATTTCCCTCTTGAGACTTTCGGCACCTCCCCCCAAAAAAAGCCCTGGATAGACAGACAGACAGACAGACAGACAGACAGACAGACAGACAGACCACCTGCCCAGCTGGGCACAGTGCAAATCACAGGAACTGAATAAAAATATAATTCCCAAAACTTGAGTTCATGAAGACAGGCCCTTAAGTTGCAACTGGCCAAGTTGAGTTTCAAATGGGAATCTGAGGAAATATACTGTATTATATACAGAAATGTAGCCCCGAAGCAAGAATTCATCATACATTACTCACCTGCAATAGTAACATTGAAGAAGGCAGAGTCACCACCTGCATCACATACAAATTCGCCTGTGTCTTCCACCTGTGCCGAGCTAATGACGAGCTGTTGGTGGGTTCCTTCGCTCTCCAGCTGCAAGTGTCCCCCCTCTTCCACCTCTTCCCCATCTTTGTACCAGTGGACAGGAACATTGGGGCGGGATAGCACACAGGCCAAAACCACACGTTCTGAAGTTTGATAAGTATGGGCCACATCTGCATTGGACTGTACAATCTGCACAGGTGTCTCTGCAGCATTATGGAAAAAAGCACAAGATGTTTCATGCAGGCCCGTAGCCACAGTGGGGCACACCCCACAACAGCTGCTGCCCCCCCCTCCTGTGGCATTAAAAGGGCCCTCCGGCAGATCAGTGGGAGCAAAATGACCTGCCGATCAGCTGGAGGGCCTTTTAAATCTTGCAGGAGAAAAGGAGAGGGGAAGCCCATGCCTTCCCTGAACTCCAAGCAGTGATTTTGCCGCTTGGAATTCAGGTGCGGGCAGCCCCTGCTTGAAAAACCCCATTTAAAGGAAATCCTTTAAATGGTGTTTTTTCAAGCGGGGGCTGCCTGCACCCCTCCCCCTCCCCTGCTGCCCCACCAAATTTCCCCATGCCTCACCAACCCAAAATTTCTGGCTATAGGGCTGGTGTCATGAACTTCAGTGAAACCAAAGACTGGAAAGCAAGGGAGAATGTTCTGCACATTGTGATTCCAGTTGCTTCCACACCAAACTCACTTTACAATGCTGAGGAATTATTCTTTTGCAATATACCGGAAGTGGAATTATAGCTGTGGTTATGTACTGTATTTACCACCAAAGTATATCCTTATTAAAATCCCACAATGTCCCACCCTCATAAAAGATCCTGACAGTGTAATACTATGCAGAGTTACTGCATTCTAAGACCACTGAAATCCACGGTCTTATTCTAGAGTAGCTCTTCATAGGATTATACTCTAAATTCAGTATATACATTCAGGAATAAAACCCATTTGGTACATTGGGACTCAGCTGTTTTTCATAGTCACATATCCATTTAATTAAGCATATCCTTATTTTTCACAAGCCACAATTAATACACTCAAAATATCAGATATACAAACTGAAAACTGCATATGAAAGTAAAAGTTCTATTGACAAGATTGATCACAGAATTCTATAAATCAGTGTCTGTAGTAATTTCTATCATCTTCTTTTAGTCCCAATACTGTAAAAAGCTGTCAGATATGATCAATCTCTTTATGTATTTAGTTTTATGCTTGCAAAACTTTAATATGTTTGCCAGTCTCAACAAAGTCCAGCTGTTTAGTTCCCACTGCCTCACTGACAAAAGTTCCAGCATTGTGCTACAAAAATTCTTTCTTTACAGACTTGATCCAAACATTTTCAAGCCTCCAAGAATAAATCCTGTTGGACCGGACCAATGGGATAATAACTCCTGTTTGTGGGTTTTTTTTTCTCTCTGATTGGTTTCCACAATAAATCTGTATATGTGAACAAATCCATCAAACTGAAGATCTGTGATATGATCTTTATTTTTTTATTTGGCTAAGGATATCAACACTGGAGGAGGGTAATCTAACTCTTCCTTTTTCTTCTTCTTCTTCTTTTTGCTGTCAGGTCACAGCTGACGTAAGGTGACCTCGTGAGGTTTTCAAGGCAAGAGATGTTCAGGGATAGTTTGCCATTGCCTGCCTCTCCATTGCAACTCTGGTATTCCTCGGTGGTCTAAACACTAGCCAGGGCAGACCTTGCTTAATTTTGAGAATTCACAAGATCAAGCTAGCCTAGGCTGTCCAGGATAGGGCTGACTCTTCCGAACCAATACCACTTTCCCAGTCAGAAACAACAGCATCTCTGGAGCCCAATTTACATCACATTGTTTGGAACACAGGAAAAGGGTTAAAGCACCCTTCCCCGGCATGGTGGTCCAGATCCAAACTGCAACTTCAAATGGTTACTGTTTCTTCAAATGTAAAAACAGAAATCAGATCACAGATCTCCAAAGGGTTTTTTTAGTCATTAAGCAAAGGAGAGGCTTCTTTTGAAACTGACTGGAATGGAAATGAATGAAGAAATATAACAGACTCTGAACAGATGTAATAACCAGAGGTCCCTCTAAGCTACACTAGGGGGCACTGACACAAAAGTTTAGCTGGCAGCTCACGGATTTTTGCATCAGCTCACAGATGAACTGAGAAGGCATTTCCCCCTTCACTGGAAACAATGGAGGATGGGGGCACCTTCTTCTTGGACCCACAGAATTGGATCCACTGGTCCAATCTTTTTGAAACTTGGGGGTGGGGTTAAAGAGAGACACCAGTAATGATGCTGCAAATTTGGGCCTCTACCTGAAAAAACAGCCTCCCCAGAGCCCCAGATATCCCCAGATTGATTCTCCATTATAGCCTATGGGGCCCATTGACTATAATGGAACTGGAAAAATGCACACACCCATTATGCTTTTCAGTATGATTTGTAAGCTGCCTGGAGTCACAGAGAAAAGTGGGATATAACTATTTGAAAAAATAAATAGTTTGGGCAGGTGGATAACATTTAAGCAACTTCCTGTTTGTTGGGTTAGGCAGGGTTCTGACAGTGATTGTTCTTTCTCTGTTATTCTTGACTTGTAATGCTGTTTGTCATATTTTACTAAAAAAAAACAAAGTAGACTGCAACAGTCTCTCCCCCCCCACACAAGTGCTGGTATATTTTCTAAGGCTCAGCACAGGGTGACTGAGGCCAGGTCTACCAATATAGTGGACTGGGGTAGGTAGACATGTTCTCCCAATATATTCTACCAATATAGTGGAAAGGGGAGGGTAGACCAGGTCTCTTGAAGCTTGGTCTGCCCCCATACAGGACAACATTTTTTGTAATGAAATTTGACTTGATTCTGTTTTCTCTTAAAATATAGTTCTCCTAAAATATAGTTCAAATATAGTTTCACAGGGTGACTGAGGCCAGGTCTACCAATATAGTGGACTGGGGTAGGTAGACATGTTCTCCCAATATATTCTACCAATATAGTGGAAAGGGGAGGGTAGACCAGGTCTCTTGAAGCTTGGTCTGCCCCCATACAGGACAACATTTTTTGTAATGAAATTTGACTTGATTCTGTTTTCTCTTAAAATATAGTTCTCCTAAAATATAGTTCAAATATAGTTTAAAAGAATTCATTGTGAGGTTTTTACAAAGTTATGGAAACAATCTAAAAAACTAATTTACGCAATAGTCAAATGTAGGCTTGCTCACAACTTTAATGCTACTAGCCTTTTCACACATGAAATAGAATTTTTGCTCACAACACTGTGGACCTTAGATGGAACATTAGTAATAACAAGGGGTGGCCCGCGATACTCGCCTGTTCAGGGGAGGGGAGTAGCTTATCGAAGACTACAATTCCCAGAAGCTTCTGCTCCCCCCTTCCCTTCCCTTGGCCGTCAACTCCCTTCTCTCCCGGCCTCGCGCACGCTCTGGCCTGTTAACCGGTGAGTGTCCTCATTCCCACTCCCCTTTCCTCCATTTCGCTGTTCTCTCTCCTCCCCCTGCTCCGATGCGAGGGCAGAGCTGCGAGCCGCCCTCGCCGGTCTTCCCCCCTCTCCCGGCTCGCGGCTCGCCTCGCGGCGTTCACAGAGCGTTTCGTGCGCGTGCGCACGGAACGCTCTGGCACTTTCGGGGGGATTTAAACATCCCCCTGAGGTTTTTTCCCACTTTTTGGATTTTTGTGCACATGTTGGCACCGCCCCACGTGTGCACAAACCTCTCCCTCCCCCCCAGGTCCCACCGATGTGCGTATTTAGCTATCCGCACAGACGGGGCGACTTCAGTATTAGTATAAGGATAAAAATTTCTAAAACATGTAACTAAGACAAACAAAAAATGAACTGAAAAGATTCTACAGACATTTATGCCCTCTCCCAAGGTAAACTAATTCATTCTCTTGCCTGTGACTGTGATGTTGAAGAAGGCAGAATCACCCCCCACATCACACGCAAACTCCCCTGCGTCACGCACTTGTGCAGAGGGAATGATCAGCCAGCGATGGGGGCCTTCATTCTCCAGCAAGAGGGCCTCGCTTTCTTCCACTTCCTTCCCATCCTTGTACCAGTGCACAGGAGCATCAGGGCGGGACAGTTCACAGACCAACTCCACACGCTCTCCAGCCCGGTAGGCATGGGCCTCCTCAGCATTGGAATGCACAACCCTTACAGGAGGTTCTGTGGCAGAAAGAAACTTGCTGTGAATGGGGAGGAGCCAAAGAAACAGTCCTATCAAATCTCTTCCCTTGATCTTGAGAAGTAGACGGTAACCACTCAAGACTTGCAAATGCTCATACATAGGGCTGTCTCAAGGCCAAACTAGACAGTATGCTTTTTTAATGACTCAGAATCAAATTCCTGATCAAAACGCAGCTCCAAAATGAGGCAAAAACGGCCCCTGAGACCATTTCGGCTTGGGAGAACAGTGCAGGGAGTAGACAGGAGCCCTTCTTCCTACCGCACTTTAACCCAAAGCCAAACTAGCCCCCTGCAGACTTTTAAAACGACATTCCCTCTAGCTGCTGCGAGGCTGTGGAGAAACCTGGACCCATCTTGTTAAGAATACATAGTGTGCAGTTTTGCCTTCATACCACAGCAACATGAGGTAGGGCTCCCAGCCCCCAGGTCCCAGCGGGGGTCCCCCCACTCTTGATCCGCCACCAGCCAGCTGGCCAGCAGAGGAAACACACACCCCCCAACAAGGATGTTGCTGTGCGACGTCCCTGACGCGATGTCATCACCCAGAATTGACGTCATCATGTTGCTGATGTCGGGGGAGATGCTCTAGTTTTTGGGCAGCTCTATGGCTTTGAAGGCAAAAATACTCATAGAGTTTTGCTCAAAAACTAGAGTGTCACCCTCGACACTGGTGGCGTGACACCCTCAACACTGGTCACTTCCAGGTGACGTTATAGCACCCCCCATGTTTTCTGCGCATGGCAGAAGATCTCGGAAAAGACCCGGGAACCCCCCACCAGCTGCCAGGTAGGACCTAACATGTGGCTTTCTTTTCCTCCCTACATTTCAATGCCATTTTAATGTCAGTTCATTAGGCTCCAAATTTGACTGGTGCAGTGGGACTGTGGAGAAGATGTCTGACCCTTTTCCCTTACTTTTCAATTAAGAAGACTGGGTGCTGGAGAGAACTGAATAACCCTGGCACCACTGCTCCAACTACCTTAAGAGACTGCCCCCTGGGAGAGAGGCTGTTTTAAAATAAAACAATAAGCTTAGGGGAAACAATCACATATCACCTAAATACTCAGAGTTTGCAATGGATCTTTGCTTCACTGGACAGGAGACATTTCTTTCTATGTAAAAAGCTTTGTTTCTAAGGGAAGGGTTCCAATGGAAAGCTACAAAACAAAAGAGATATCTAGAGCTACATATTCACATCCTTACAGCACAGAACACATGGTCACACAACAAATGGAGATTCCCCTTCTTCTTGACCCTTAGAAGAAAGTCACCTGAACACAGTAACCAATGATTGCTAGTAAACAGACTTAGACTTTCCCAGGCTATCCCCATTGGCTCTGAGCCAAGTTTCCTTTCCAGGTCAGTCTAAACAATAGTACACTAGGTAAAGCAGATTAACCCTATAATGACTGGAATCTAGACCTTGCAAGTCACACATTTCCAACAAGCTTAACTTGGAATTTCTATGCACTATCAACTTAGGAAAGTTAAATCAAACAAGACTGTGAAAGGCATGCCTTATCCCAAATTTCAGCTGCATCTATCCTGATTTGCCAGACTACATGTATCATCATCACTGTATGTAATTCTCAACATGGCCCCCTCTCTGGATACTTCAATCCAGTGACTGGAGCTATGAATAGACAAAACAGATCTTTCTACAAACCTGGTCATCTGTTACAATTTCAATAATATATCAAGGCCAAGATTCATCTGCTGCACTATAAGAGTAAAAATTTTGCTTACATTAAGGAATTGACTCTGCACAAAGAAGTTAACAATCCAGTAAACATCTACTGACATGTCCATGAAATAGGCTAATGAAAAAGAGGAAATAGCTGTATTTATTGTAAGGAGGGGCAAAGCCTCATAACCATTGCTGAAGATGTGACCAAGATTCAGGTATGAATTCTTCTTTTGTGAGGAAGTCTAAAATGGGATCCCATTTCCCCATGAATTGATATTTGATGGGCTGTAGGGAAGTATTTTTCAATTTGTATGTGACACAATCCATTAAGAACTGATCCCATAGCTTACCATATCAGAGTTGTATATTAGGTGGATTAGCATCCTTCCAACACGTGGCAATAGAGAGTTTTGCTGCGTATATCATGATGTTTAAGGTTGTTTTGTATTTATGTTTTTCTACATATTCAGGCCAATTATCAAGAAAAAGGCCTTCTGGACATATTGGCATGTCTATACCAGTAATGTTTCTGATGTGGCATTGTATCTCTTTCCAAAAAAAGTTTGAATCTTATCACACTGTCACCAGCAATGTGTGAAGGTGCCAATCTGTTGGCAACCCTTCCAACACAGGGGTGACTGCGTAGATCTCATATGGGAGTTTTTTGTGGTGACAGGTACCATCTTGTCATGATCCTGAATTGTTGCCATTCCATAGGTATAGAGCGGGGGAAGCATGATTGCAAGCCCCACAATGTGGACCAAAAATCATCATCTAATGTTTCCTCACAGTCTTTCTGCTGTGCGGTCTGGTATGCCATAAGTCTGGGTGGTTTGTCCTTTAGGAGAAATTGGTATATGGCCAAAATTGATCCCCTATTTTGTGTGTCGTATAACTTTAAGATCAATTCAAAATCTGTGTGAGGTTGCATAGAGTAGAGGTGATTTTGATTTGGCTAGTAACGTGTTGTATTTGCAGGTAGAGGAACCACGGGACAGGTGAACTTAATTTATTTTCTATTTCTGATTTCGTCATCAGACCCTGTTTAGACAAGATGTCACAAAAACGAGACAACCCTGCTTTCTTCCAAGATTCTAGGTAAGTATGATCAACCGTTTTGGAAAACCAGGCTTGGTGTGTGAAAGTGGAATACCTTGACACCCCAGGTAGCAGCGTTTTACGTAGTGATTTCCATAAGCTGAACATTGGAGTTAGGAACACATTAGTTTATTTGGAGGCTGGTAAGTCAGGTTTAGCATTCCAGATCAAAGAGTCTAGTGAAAATGGATGTAGAAGATCCGAACATAATCGAATCCAGTCTGGTGGATTAGTTGCACGTTGGATCTTAATAATATTAGCCAGCAATGTCATTTTTTGATACGTCATTATGTCTGGTAATCCAAACCCACCCTGGTGTTTCGGTTTCCGTAAGATGTGAAAACCTATCCTCGCCTTACGTCCCGCCCACAAAAACTCCAACAAAGTGGCCTGCCATTTTTTAAGTATGAGTGAGGGTATGGCTATAGGAACGGCTCGAAATATGAAAATAAATTTAGGTAAGAGGAATGATTTTATTAAATTATACCTATCCAGCCAAGATAAGTTTAACTTACTCCATTTAAAGATGGTACTGCGCATTTCAGAGTGAATCATATTATGGTTATAATATAATATTTTCGTTAAGTCCAATGGTATCTTTATTCCTAAATAGGATATGTAATTTGAAAGCCAGCTGAATTTAAAGAGCTGTTTGAGCTAGGATTGTTCTTCATTTGGGATATGAATAGGGATTATTTGTGATTTGGCATCATTTTATACGCAACCCTGAGATTGCTCCAAAGGAGGACAGTGTTTGCAGTAGTGTAGGTATAGATGTCATCGGGTTTGTAATATAAAGCATCATATCATCCACAAAAAGAGATATTTTGTATTCTGTTTCTCTAATTTGAACTCCCTTGATGTATTGATTTGTCCTAATTGCTTGTGCTACAGACTCTACCACCATGGCAAATAAAAGCAGAGATAACGGGCAACCCTGTCGGGTACCTCACCTAAGATTTATTGTTTGGGACATGGAGCCATTTGTTTTAATATTGGTGGTTGGATGCGCATAAGGGCTTTCAATAATGTGAGTGAATTTTGGACCAAACCCCATATCCTTAAGTACTGCAAAGAAGTAAGGGAACTCCACGGTATTGAAAACCTTCTCCACATTCAGGGAGAGAAGGGCCATAGATTGTTTGGATTGGATACCGTGTTTTTTTTTTTTTTTTTTAAATAACAATTTTTATTTTCAATATAATAATCAACAAAATAACAAGATTGTAGTAGCGTCAAGACATCAAACGTAGTGAGGAATAATAGAACACTAATATATATTAACTACAAGTGATAAAAAATGTCATAAAATTTCTGTGGAACAGTGAATTTGGTGGATTCAGAGTTAAACATATATTCTAGAAAAGGTAACCATTTCAATTGTAAATTAGGTTTATGAACCATTGTGTCAGATCTCACAACAACATCTGAGATTTTATCCATAGTATAATATTCTAAGATTTTTAAACGCCAGGCTGAAACAAGTAGTCTATTTGAGGACTTCCAGTTATTGGCAATAACAACTTTTGCCGCAGTTAATAATACAGAAATTAATTCTTGTTTGATTCTAGGGATATGAGAGTCAACCCAGAGATCTAGCAAAATAAGTTCAGGTTGCATAGGTAGTAAGTAACCTGTTATTTCTTTAATAGAAAGAATAATTTTCGACCAGAATTGGTGAACCACTGCGCATGACCACCAACAGTGTATGTAGGTGCCCTGTTGTCCACATGATCTCCAGCACATAGGAGAGAATGATTTAGAGATATTATGTATCCTGACTGGGGTAAGATACCACCTCATAAGTAATTTAAAGCTTTGTACTTGTATATTTAGGGAACATGATCTTAATGAGGGAGATGACCAAATATCGTCCCAGTCTGCAGGGAGTAATGGGGTGTCGCAGTCTGCCTGCCAAGCCTCTTGATAGGTCAGACGCTTGGTGCCTTTTGCGAGGATGAGATCTGAATAGACAATTGAAATATAATTTTTAAAAGAGTTTTGATTGAGTTTTAGAAGTTTTTCGAATACAGTTAGAGGTCTGTGGAGAGAGGAGTGGGATGTTAAAGAGTCAATCAGGTGTGAAACTTGATAAAATTCAAACCAAGGAAGAGAGCATCGGTATTTGCTTTCAATGAATTCTTTCGAAGAGATTTTGTTGTTGGTGGTAACTTTGTAGAGGAAATTTATATGCTTCTTCTTCCAGGTTGTGAATGTATCCCTTTGAAGACTAGGGGGGAACCATGACACGTTGGTGAATGATGTTAAAGGTGAAACTGGTGGTGCTAACCTATGTTTCTTTTTTTCCCAGGTTATCAATGCAGTGGAGAGGAAGAGGTTTTGACGATTTTGTTGTTAGTGGTAACTTTATAGAGGAAATTTATATGCTTCTTCTTCCAGGTTGTGAATGTATCCCTTTGAAGACTAGGGGGGAACCATGACACGTTGGTGAATGATGTTAAAGGTGAAACTGGTGGTGCTAACCTATGTTTCTTTTTTTCCCAGGTTATCAATGCAGTGGAGAGGAAGAGGTTTTGACGGATTGAGGCTGGTCTTTTACTGGCGGTTTCCCATAAAACCGATTGGAACGGTAAGTTGTTCAGGTGAGTCTCTTCAATTGTTTTCCAGTCTGATGTGAATGTTGAGTCATGTAGTTTTAAAAGGCCTAGCAATATGGTTGCAGCATGATACGTTTGTAAGTCTGGGAGGGCGAGGCCCCCTGCTTTTCTTGGTCTAATTAAGGTGTCATATGAAACTCTATTCAAGCCTGAATTCCAGATGAATTTTGTAAGTAGTGATTTCCATCGGCGAAAATAAGATCCAGGAATGTCCAAAGGTAAAGTTCTAAAAAGATACAAAAATTTTGGTAGTATGAATGTCTTGGCAATCTGGATCCTTTCAATCCAAGAAGAAAGTGCCGTCGATTTATTGG